GCCCAGCAGGGGGCAGGATGAGTGACCTTGGGGGAGTAAGGGACCAGTAGGTTTATCTACTCCCTTCATCATGGGGAAAATAGTGTTCAGGAGGATTTTGAAATTCTGCTGGAGGATTTTGGAAGAATTATTAGGATAGTGACATAAACTAAGCAGGTTTTTCAAATTAACTTCTGGAAAAACAAAGAATTCTAGAAGAGAGGAAATGTGAACCCAGAGTATCTCTTCACTCAGCAGTGAACTGTACATACATAATTGTCATAAAACAAAGATTGAATACTGATTTAACAAAACATGAGACATAAATACGTTAGAAAATGGAGGGAGAGAAGATACAGTGGAAGTGGGTTAGGAACATCCCAGCCCCGTCTTCCATCATAAGACGTCAGTAAGCATTTAAAATTGGCAAGTCAAGGGGTAACCAAATGAACATACTATTTAGATGTAAGGAAGAAAGCACAGAAGGAAGAATTTGGAGAGAGGAAGTTTGGATAAGAATGGGGCAGGGGACTGCTGTTTTTTCCTCATGCCTCATAATACTGTTTGAATTTCTTAATTATATACCTTGGGCTGGACTTTCATGAAAAATAAATAAGCAAACTAGCAAATAATCTGAGAGATGGGAGTTTAATATACAAGAGACGAGGAGGGAGACAGAAGAAGAATCAAGACCACTTCTTTACCACGTGGGCAGGACAGTTGGTTGATTCGAGTTGTGGAAAAAAATATCTACGCAAGAATATCACTTTAATCTAGGAGACGTGCCCTTGAGAAAAGCCACTCTTCCAAGGGGGCCCACAGCTCAGCTGGACCAGAGGACAGAGTTATGGTTATTCTGGCTGCCCCTGTTCTCAGCCCTTCCAACCCACCGAGGGGGTTGAAGGAATACCTGCTCTCCAGCTTTCCTTCTACTTTGCGGCGGGCACTCAGGTGCTAAGTGAACTGTGGTTTGCACTTAGACAGGGCAGAGTAGGTGGGTAGGGTCCCTCCAGGGTATTTTGAAGAATGAGGTGGAGACATTCCCATCCATTGAAGACACAGGTGTGATGGAGCTGGTCCAGCCTTGCCGGCAGGTGGCACATGTGCTCCTTCTGTGGTCTGGTCGTCCTGACCAGCGTCTGTGGGAATGGGGCCTGGCCTCTGTGGTCACTCAAAGGAAGGAAAAGCTTCTTTACTTGCCCTGGGCCTTCTGCATTTGAGTGTCTGTGTCTTTCTCTAGGACAGACTCCCAGTGATCACTCAAGAATCTGGCTCTCATCTCGTCGGGCTGTGCTGCCCCTGTGGTTGTGATACTTGGAAGCCTGCTCTGCCTGGAACGTAGTCAAAGCTGCCTTCAAGGAGCCTGGGCTGGATCCTCAGCTGGGTCAGGCTCTCATTAGCCTGCGGTCACAGATCAGGTGATCTGAACACTTGGAGACACCTGCCTTGGATCCCTGGAGAATGAAACAAGAGCTATTCCCTTGTGGGAAAGCTGCCTCTCAGTCCCCTCCACCAATTCAATCCATTTCTTGGAAAATCCAGAAGGAACCAGTCAGTCCACCCACAGCATGCCATGTGATATGGGGGCAGTCCGCTGGGTGTTTGCAGAACTATTCATACTCCCCAGTGTCTGAATCCTGATTGTTTCGCAGCCAAATGGCAAAATAAAACATAGTTTCCCTAAAGGTCTTCAACTCCTTTAGGACAAATAGGATTTTAGTTCTGGATGAAAACTACATGTGAGGAAGGGGAAATCCAGCCAGCAAGGTAGGCACTCCCCACTCCTTCCTTCCTTATCCATAAAGTGGTCATCAGCTAGCTCCACAAGGTCATGGCCCACTAGAGTTCAGAAGAGATTCCAAAGAGTGGCCAGGCCAGACCCCACTCAGGAGAACTGGCACTTGAGAACGCATCCATGGAAGCAGCTCTCCGATGAGGAAATCCTTGTGAATGTGTGTGTCAAGAGGACAGAAAGGTAGGAACCTTCCAGAATGTGACCTTTCTGAGCAGAAGCCATCAGAAGGTGGATGGCATGGGCAGGGATGTGCCATCATGTGAACACCCATGCTCAGGACCTAGGTTAGCATTTGAAGGTGGACGCATCCCAGTACAATAAACACACACTCAGTGAGCTAACCTGCATCCCACGGGGACTGCTGCAGTGTCTGAGATCATTTCAGTAGCAGAGCAGGGTCAGACACACAGTAAAGCCTGGGCCAAGTCATTTTGCTTGGTTAACTGGGGTAGAAGGCCATGGTTATCAGCGTGGACTTTGGAGGTCAACAGAGATAATGTCAGCAGACCCAAGTCCTGGGCTGTCAGACTGCCCTCTTACGTACAGTCTTCTGCACGTACAACACTGGTCCTGACAGGTCAACATAGACTCGGCTTAAGAAAGAAAGGAAGGAAAGAAAGGAAGAAAGGAAGAAAGAGAAGGAAAAAAAGAAAGAGAAGAAGAAGGAAGGACGTAGGTAGTACGGTCCGAACGGACGGACGTGTACGGTACGAACGACGAGGAGGAAG